GGTTGAGTCATGGCAACTGGACTTCTTTTCTTTTGGTCTGAAAAGTTTCACTGCTTGGACAAGCAGCGAAATGTATCAGACCAAAAGAAAAGAAGTCCAGTTGCCATGACTCAACCTCCAGATAATTCCACCTGGATGACTCAGAATCTTCATCAATACATTGCTATGGCCTTTTAGAATAAAATAACCATTTCCCAAGCATTGCTAAAATGAATATTCATGCTGTGCCTGGGAGTCCTAGTGAGTGTATATAGGATTAGCAAGAGAAACACAAGCAAATACATGGCAGTTCCTTTCAAAGAAAGATATATTATAGGAAAAAGGTTTTATTCTTCACATTCTGATTAAGTCTGCTTCAGGTGCCAGTTGCCAAATAAAGAGAAATAGCATCCGCAATAAAGACAGCTAGCGGGTATTATCAAGTCCCCACTGTTTCATTATTGTTTTGCTTGTAAAATAAACAAAGAACATCCACAGCACCATTAAATACCTAAACATGGCATCTGTGGGAACCAGTCAGCTACATACAGAAATTAAAGTATGATTATTCACTGTATGTGTTGGAAAAAGAACATGCCTTCCAATGATGCAAAGACTGCAAGAGCTAGAATGCCTGGCTCTTTAACAGAACAGCACAGTGGAAGTATTCTGAAAGAAAGCTAATGCTTTTATTTATTTATTTTTAAATAGGACCTTAAAGTTTGAAAAGCTACAGAATCCAATCTTCTGTTCTATGCAGGAATCCAGTTTAAAGCATCCCTGACAGATGGCTGAACAGATGCATTTTTCTAATTCGTGTATTTGTTAAATTTATATCCCACCTTACCAAGAGGAACTCATAATGGCATACATAGCACTTCCTCTTCTAATTTTTCCCTGAAACAACAATCATAACAATCTTGTGAAGTAAGTTGAGATGAGAGAGGGTGACTGGTTCAAAGATGCCCAATAAGTTTCCATGGCTAAAGATGGACTTGTACCTGTGTCTCCCAGATCCTAGTCCAACATTTTAACCACTGTACCACACTTGGTCTCTCAGGGATATTCACTGGGGTGTATGTGTGTCAACAGCATCAAAATGTGCTTCACATCCATTGCACATATGTTAAAAGGGACAGGGCTTTGATTGCCCATTTTGACACTGTTGATCTACCCCCTTCCCCATGGACACTCCTACTCTCTCTGTATCTGATAATATTGCTCATGATTTTGCCAGTAGGCTTCTGTACTTTTTTGAAGCCATGATTTTCACAATTCTTACTGATATATTTCAGTGTGCATCAGCTTGTACACAGAAAATAACATATTGTTTGAAAAAAGCTTGAGCTTGGAGAATGTCTAAGAGCCAAATCCTTATGATGATAAAGATTGATGATGCAGGCAGTTCTTTCTAGGGAAGTTCTCCATCAGAGGTGCCAACAGCAAAGCTGAACCAGGTATGACAAGCCTCACCCTATAATGAAGTCCCTGTGCGAGCCTTCTTTCACATGCCTGCATCATGATGCTGTTGTGGGGCAGGGCTTGTATAATGATGTCACTGTGCATGCTCAGATACTACAAACATGTACCTTGTTCCTTGCTTGCTGTCAAAACGCAGGCCAGCCAATGGAAATTGCAACATTATCTTAAATCAATACTTTATTGTTGCTGTTATTATTAATAATTATATTTGAGTGCTCTACAATAATGAATTAAAGTGACTTTTTTCCATATGCAGACCATTCTAATAGTCCAAGTTGACTGCATAAACTTTTAATGATTTTGCTCTCTCAATTATATTATCCCATAACATAATACATTGCAGAATTCTAATTGCCTATATTAGCATCAGAGGATCCCACTAGCAATGTGGTTCACCTTTTTGTAAAAACTCTCTTTTCTTTTTTGAATGACCTTTTATTTTTCAGCTCATTTTTCACTAATAGCATAGAACTAGATTGTTTAACCCATAATTGACACCAAAAATGTCAGCTCTGTGTCACATTCTTCCATTTCATCCCATAACATTTAGTCAACATCTTATCTTTTTGTACATTCACATACATGTACATGGCTGGCAGAAGCCAAGAAATGCAATAAAATGAAATTAAAAATTTAATGCAGGAATGTAAGCTTCATCTTTGAAAATAATTTTTATTCACTACTTCTGATGAACACACATCTTCCCAGGAGCCATTTGGTTGCACACACTGTGTGTCAAGTCCTTGTGAATAGCAATTACATTCAATTATAATGACTAGCCTGTCATGGCATTTCAGTGCCAAGCAAGATGGAATATGAAATGAAGATGCACATGACTCTGTGAATCTATGAAAATATTAAAAGGTCCTATATCATATGGGAAATGTCTGGAAAATCAAGTTGGATCCCTTATTTTATTCCCACAAGAAACCTCTGAAGCAGGGAGAGTGATTGGCCAAAAATCACCCAGTAAATTCCTTGTCTTTTTCCAGAATGATAATTCCGATATGAAGGAACATATCAAAGAGAAAGAGACTGCACAACAGCATATTTGGCATGGCATTCCCCAAGAGAGAAGGATGGTGCCCTCTCCTAGGGTTCTGGAAAGCTTTGAAAAGCTGGCTTTGGTCCTAGGCCCGGCACTGATGTTCATTAGTTTTCTAAGGCCCCTCTTTTGTTTCGTTTTGTTGATTTTGCTGTTTATTAGATCGTTTTAGTCTGGGCCCTCTATCTGATTTTATGTTTTTAGCTGTTTTTATGTTTGCTTTTTTTCCTAGTTTTGTACGTTGCCCAGAGTCCATTGGAGTTGGGCAGCCAATAAAGAGGAAGAGGAAGAAGAAGATCACAAAATACAAAGACTGCAAATAGAAATAGAATGATTGTGGCAAAAGAAAGCAAAGATAGTACCAATAGTAATAGGTGCCTTGGGTGCAGTCCCAAAACATCTGGAGCACCACTTGAAGACCATTAGCATTGACAACATCACCATTGGTTAATCTTTACTTGGAACAGCTTACATCTTGCAACAATACCTTTAACACCATCAAACAACATCATCTGCCTATCCCAGGTCCTTGGGAAGGACTTGATAGCTGGATAAAAATGCCAAATCCAGTCTAAACAACAGGCTGACTGTGCAACCAACAACAACAATAATAATTTCCTACAGATGTTATATAGATTCATTTGCCCTTTCATATATTGGAGGATAACTTTTGAGGAAAATAATATTCCCCCTCTGTTGGGACTCCCATTGTTCCTTCATGCAAGGAATTTGTGAAGAGAACTAAATAGGACTAAAATTAATAATCCTATAAATTGGGTTGTTACAACAGGTTGGCAGCACCTCACCAACCTTATTTGATCCAGGGTAGGACCCGGGTAGTTCTTTTACAGAAGAATTACTTGGAAGTTTAAAAGAAAAAAAAAGAATAGAAAAAAGGTAATGGGAAACTACTTCCACATTTTAACCAAGAAAGCAATATGAACATATCCATGTAATATTAGGATTGAACTTGACTTAAATGAGTCTTCATATTACATAAAGGGTTGAGAACTTACAGCATTTCACATTTTACTAAACTACAACTCCTAGCAGCTCAGCCAACACAATCAGAAGTTCCCCTTTTGGCATCAGTCTTAAGAATGATATAAACTTATCCCAATTTTCTTTAAGTAAGGTAAACATCAAAGTGCAACTAAAAGAAGTCAATA